CCCGGGTCTGTTGGGGTAAAGAAAGGCTTTTCCAAGCAGCACAATGGCTGGCGCTCCAAGAAAGCTGGGCTCACCCCGCGCAGGCCGCACACATACCCCACGGCCCTTTGGCCAAACAAGAGCGGGACACGGGAGTGGCAGGGAGCTCCGGGGGTGTCGAGCGGCGAGAAGGGAAGGGATAGGCAAAAAAGAAGAGAGGGCTGGAATAACACGCCCGTCCTGGGGCTCTGTCAAGCCTCGCGCCCCTGAGCCCCAGAGGCCCTGGGCCCACCGGAGGGCAGCGCCCCCCACAGCCACCACCACCCTCGTCCTTTCTCCGACCTGGTCCGTAGTAAAACAATCGTTCCCGCAGCGTCTGCGGCAGCTGATAGAGGTTCTGACACTGCAGGAATGCATGGTGCTGGGGACGGGCTCGGCACCCCAGGGAGGGGCACGGGCGGGTGCGGGCTCAGGCTCTTAGGAGCATAGATGACTCTGGGGCGTTGAAGAGTAGCCGGACCAGATAACGGTCCAGGGAGGAGGTACAGACCCACTGCCCCACACCATCGGGCAGCGTTCCCGGTTCCCCCAGCCCCCAGACCGCGCCGCGCCTCCCTTCTCTCTCTCGCTCTCTCGCTCTCTCTCTCTCACACACACACACACACACACTCGCACGCACACGCACGCCAGGCCTGGCTGGGGGGCCGAGGCTCTGATCTGATGATGCTTGAAGTGCCCATCATCCCACAGCTCCCGACCCGGGCGCTGCGCTCCCGTGAAGGGCTGGGCAGGAGGGCGACGGCCTCGGGGCTCTTCCGTTCCGATTCCAGGATGGGACGGGCTGGGGGCGCGGGGCTTCGACACCCCCCGACCTGCTGGCCGAGAAGCCGGAGTCGCGGGGCCCCTCCTTCTCCACCCCCGTCCAACCCCCACCCACGGCAGTGGGTCAGCCGGGCTAAGGTCGCCCCCCGCGACGGCACCTGTCCGGGTCCTGGCGGAGGGAGGCGGATCGCGGGGCTCAGCGGGACACCCCCATCCACGGGCCGCGGGGAGCGGCCGGAGCACAGCGCGGCGGCGGCGGCGGCGGCGGCGGCAGCG